CCGTGGCCTTGACGATACTTTATCATCACACTTCAAAGGAAGATCAATTTCAGCACAACAAACCTGCTCTGGTGTGTCTTTCTGCTCAGAAGGACGTAAACGTCTCATACGCCATCGGTATTTCTCAGCACCGATCACAGGATACCAACCATCGGTTTCTAGCCGAGCATTAGACAGACCAATCTTAGAGGGATGACTCAGCGTACCACCAGATACGATAAGACCAGGAGCATCAGAGATCTGATTAACTAAGGAAATGGGGTCATCTTCAGCTTCAACTTGGTAGAGATCACTGAGACCATCATCAAAGTCTTCGTTGACGATATTCACTGGATCATTACCCGCTTCACTATTGGCCGTTAATGGCTTCAACTCACCTTTTACGGTGACCGATCGCTCAGACTCACTGTTCACGCCAAAAGACAACGTAACTCCACAATCACACATACTCCTGACACCCAAGATGGCATACTTATTTCGACCACCTTGAAGAACCCTAAATTGGATTTTGGCAACATCGACCACAGCCACCACCTGTCGAACAGAACCATCGGCCAGAGTAACCCGTAATGACTCAGACACTCCTCGACTAGATGTAGCCAAGCCAAGCTTTTCTACAAGCGATGCAGAAATATAATTATAGTAAGCTCCCGTATCCAGGAGAGCGGACAATATCTTACCCTGACCAAGTGGAATACTGATAGTAGGGCCAGCTAATTTCTCCTTAGTCTTTGAAACAGCACATACAACACAGGGATCATCATCCACAATGTTCAATAAACGCTGAGTAATCTCCACAGTCTCTTCAGACTGCCTAACGTCAGGCTGCTTAGGGGATACTTCAACAGAACTAACGGTGACGGAGGACTTCTCAATAGGAGGCTTAGGAGGACCACTGGCTGTACCATCTTTGAAGTCGGTATGAGCAAACTTACAAGACTTACCAAACCGACATTTCCCAGCTCGTCGCCAATTATAGCATATCTTCTTTTTTACCACTTCTTTAGAAGTACCATTACCAGTCTCAATCACAGAGTTAACCTTTCCCAAGCTCCCACGAGACCCCTCCTTTACCCCAGTGATCATACGCTCACGCATTACCAGTGCAGTTGCCAGTTGGCTATAGGTAAGACGACCACCGGCATTCGCCATACGATCAACAGCAATCTCTTTTACATCTTGTCGGAGAGAGCTTAGAAGGGCAGCAACCAAACGACCATTATCCAAGACTATACTATGAGAGGCC